TTGGCTGCACCTTGGAGTCACTGGGGGGTCCCCCTAGGCACTGGTCAATGGGCAGGCTGACGGCAGGCATGGGATGCTTCAGAACTCCCAGGTCCCTAAACGTGCGTCAGAATCCGAGAGCCCTGAAGGAGGCCCGCCCCCCCCCAACCGGAGAGTTTGGGCTGGCCCAGGGTCAGAACTGTCTTCCCGTCACCCCAACTCTGCAGCAGGGCCACCGTCTCCCGGCTGCCCCAGAGGTCTCTGTTGGGAAAGACTTTGCCTCATCACCCAGATCTCAGCTCACCCCACGGGCAGCGGGCAGCGGGCAGCGGGCAGCAGGTGGCGGGCATTGGGCAGTGGGTGGCAGGTGGCAGGCAGTGGACAGTGAGCAGTGGGTGGTGGGCGGTGGGCAGCAGGCAGCAGTCTGTCTCACCAGGCTGCTGGGTGTCTGACAACAGGGACCGAATCATGTGTGATCCTCCCTCCACCATATTCCTCCCCACAGGCTCCTCCCCACAGGCTTCTCCTCACAGGCTCCTCCTCCCCACAGGCTCCTCCTCCCCACGGCCTCCTCCTCCCCACGGTCTCCTTCTCCCCACAGCCTCCTCCTCCCCACGGGCTCCTCTTCCCAACAGGCTCCTCCTCCCCACGGCCTCGTCCTTTTCACGGCCTCCTCCCCACGGCTCCTCCCCATGAGCTCCTACCGGACACCCCAAGGGCTGCTGCCGCAGCTCTGCCTTCCCCTCAGGCCCCCTTCTTGCCTAATGGGAAGCCCAGGGAGCCTCCCTCCAGTTCCACAGGCTTCTCCCCACAGGCTCCGCCTTCCCAGAGGCTCCTCCTCCCCACAGCCTTCTCCCCATAGGCTCCTCCTTCCCACAGGCTCCTCCTCCCCACAGGCTCCTCCCAACAGGCTCCTCCCCACAGGCTCCTCCTCCCCAGAGGCTCCTCCCCACAGGCTCCTCCCCACAGGCTCCTCCTCCCCATGGGCTCCTCCCCCCCGCAGGCTCCTCCTCCCCATAGGCTCCTCCTCCCAAGGGGCTCCTCCTCCCCACAGGCTCCTCCTCCCCATAGGCTCTTCCTCCCCACAGGCTCCTCATCCCCAAGGGCTCCTCCTCCCTACGGGCTCCTCCTCACCACACGCTCCTCCTCCCCACGGGCTCCTCCTCCCTACAAGCTCCTCCTGCCCACGGGCTCCTCCTCCCCATAGGCTCCTCCTCCCCACGGGCTCCTCTTCCCACCGGGCTCCTCCTCCCCATGGCCTCCTCCTTTTCACGGCCTCCTCCCCACGGCTCCTCCCCATGAGCTCCTACCCCAGGACCCTCCCCATGGGCTTCCCTTCAGAGGACTTGCCTCTCCCCCACATGCACCCTCCTAAGCCCTGCTCCCTGGGACGGACACCGAGGGTTGCTGCCGCCGCTCTGCCTTCCCCTCAGGCCCCCTTCTTGCCTAATGGGCAGCCCAGGGAGCCTCCGTCCAGTCCCTGCAGTGCCCATGCTCACGCTCACACCCACGCCTGCCTCTGCTTTTCTCTCCAGCGTTTTCTCCTGTGGGATCACCTTCCCAGCCCCTCTCCCAGCCTGCTGCTCATGCAGGTCCCAGCTTAAAATCGCTGGGAACTCTGACACTTGCTCCCCCATGGAGGCCCTGAGGACGGGGATGCAGGGCAGCCCTGAGAGGACAGGTCCCCGGCCATCAGAGCCACCGCGACAGGAAGCGGAGTGGGGGGCCCAGGAGCCAGAGGGGAAGGGGTTGGTGTAGCCTGGGGACAGGGTTTTGTCTGTGAGGATGACAAGGTCTGAGGCAGTGCTGGTGGCCAGGCAGCAGTGTGGATGCACCGGCAGCACCGAGTGGGGAACTCACAAACAGTGAAAATGATACCTTTGGTGTCATGTGCATTTTCCACAGTAAAGTGCTCTGGGTCTCTCTCTCAGGGACCCTTCCCTGCCCTGTGGCCTAAGCCCGGGAGGCCTGTGTCATGTTCCCAGGGCCCCCCAGCTGCACAGGAACGTGTTCCTTCGGTTCATCTATCTCACCAGCTCGTAGGTAGAATGCAAGCAGATTGCGTCTCACCTCACCCATCACTGCCCACAGAGCCGGCCACTAAGCCAGTGCTACTGGGCGTGCAGTGGGGAGCCCCAGAACTCGGCTCCCAGCCATCTTCATGTCAGGGGAATGTGACTGCTGCTCTGACTGTGCAGCCCCTCCTCACGGCGTGCCCGGTGGTGACTGTGACTGACACGTGGCGGCTGAGCCCAGTGGGGTCAGGTCCATGTGCCCAAGTCTCAGACCGCAGATCGCCCGCCCTGGTGAATGAGGACGGCGGATGGGCTATGTCGCCTTCGTGGGAAGTTCGAATCCCCGATTCACCTGAAACCAGGTTCTTTCTGCTGCGGGTGAGCCCACGCGTCCTGAGACGACCTGTCTTGCCAGATAAATGCCCAGGAAACCGTAACCACACAGCTGGTTCAGGCTTTTATGAGCGGCCTCCCTGTGGCCACCTTCTGGGTTAACCCTGTGTTTTGTCTTCCCAAACCAGATATTTATCTTTGAGAACAACATCTACTACTGCGCTCACGTCGGGAAGCAGGCCATCCGCGTGGTCTCGACGGGGAAGGAGGACGTCATCTACAACGGCCTCAGCGACTGGCTGTACGAAGGTGAGCAGCCGAGGAGCAGGGTCCTGTGGTTGCTGTGGTCAAGTGGTTCCATGAGTGCCATGGCTGTTGTGGTTGCCATGGTTGCTGTGGTTGCCATGGCTGTTGTGGTTGCCATGGTTGCTGTGGTCATGTGGTTCCATGGTTGCCATGGTTGTTTGGTCATCTGGCTCCATGGTTGCCATGGCTGTTGTGGTTGCTGTGGTTGCCATGGTTGCTGTGGTTACTGTGGTTGCTGTGGTCATATGGTCACTGTAGTCGCCACTGCCCCTGGTGGTGGTTGATAGAGTTCCCTTTCACTTTAACTATAACTCAAACTCCAGCTTCTTGAGGTTCTGCTAAATTACAATACACTGTTGGGTCATCAGGCGGTGGCGGGAGACGGGGCAGGTGTGGGGCTTCCCAGGACTCAAGCTCTCTGGCTCGGGGGCAGGGGCGCTGTACTGGGAGGCATATTGTACGCGAGGTGACTTCTGGGGACACTGGGCTATGCACAGGTTTCTGACTCGCTCCCAGAGGCCGAGGGCCTTTTCTGCCCCCAGGTGGGCAGTGTCCGGAAAGAAGTAACAAGTTAACGCTACTGAAAGGAGCGGATCCACATGAGCTGCTGCCCCGGGTCCCTGCCTTGTGGGACATCTCCTACCACTGGTTCCCTTTGGCTGAGAGCGCCCAGCGGTGTGCACTGTTCCACAGCGAGGCAGCGAGTGGAGCAGCACCCGTGGTCCGCGCACGCTCAGAGGTCCTCCCGCCCTGTGCTGCGGGCTGTCCGCGCAGGCTGTGTGGGGAGCACCGTGCGATTTCCTCACTACCCTCCGCCTCAGGCGTGTATAACAGATCGAGGCTGTGACAGCATCGCAGATGGGCAGCCTGAGCGACTCACCGGTTCTCACAGCTCTGGGGGCTGATGGTCCAGGTCGAGGTGCAGTGAGACAGCGCCTGGCGAGGGGTCTCTTCCTGGTCCTCACTTGGTGGGGAGAGGCACGCCCTGGTCTCCGCACCCCCTTGTAGGATGTCACCCCACCTCCAAAAGCCCCACTGAACACCATCCCTGTGGGGGTTCAGGCTTCAGTGTGTAGCCTCTCCTAACAGCGTGCCCGGTGGTGCCTGTGACTGACACGTGGCGGCTGAGCCCAGTGGGGTCAGGTCATCCGCCCGGTGTCACCGAGGTTAAGGGAGAGGCCTTATGGAGTCACACTGTTCAAGTCCTGGACAGTTATCTTTCCAGAAATCCAGACTTGAACCTGGAACCTGCGCGCCCAGCGCTGGGCGGAGGTGTGGCTCACACGCTTCTCACCTGCCCGCGGGGACCACGCGGCCACCACGCTGGTCTGAGCCCAGGGGGCTCCCGGTGTCATCAGGCACAGAAATGGCCTTTCCCTCCCTCCCCGTAACCCGCCCCCACCCACTCCCCACCCCCGCGCCACGCGGTACGGTCCACAGGCTGTCAGCGGGTACGACTTCGCATGGTAAAGTCGCTGAAAACACTGAGGCGTGGGTCCGGGCTGGGCCTCCGCTTTCC